TGCTATTTTGAAATAAATTATTAAACTTATTTTTCTTAAACATAGAACAGTAAATAAAGAAGTAAAACAAACAATTATCCCTTCTAGTTACTATAGTTCTTGTACTCAGTTGCTGCTTGACATAAGTTGCTAAGCCTTTAAAAATTTTGCACATGGAAGATATGAAACAAAATAATGTTTTTTAGGTTTTATATATACATTTGAATAACTAAAAAATCATAAATTACTACATGAATACCATAGAATTCCACTGTCAAGCTTAGTAACTAAGATGTATTTTAGTCTAAAAAATATGAAATTTCGAGCAGACTAAAGACACACCCTACCTCCTTGAAATATTGATTCAAAAGAAATAAATGGCATCCAACCCTGTTAAAATGGCTGAGGGGGACATTCTGAGCATCCGATTGGTTATTAATGTTATATGTAGAAGTAAGTGTATATAAGGGAGCATTTCCAAATATGGAAAGAGGTGGGTGGGGTGCCGCTGTTTGATTTATTACATGAGCAATATCTTAGTAAATTGAAAAGAGGCTCTTATTTTATATTCTAGCTTGTCAATATCAGTAATCTGAGTTTCTAATTTGAACAAAACTAGAGACTATGTATTTTGACTTCACAAACATCTAATTTGAACCAGTGCTTATCAATGTTTATCTGTGTTTTTTAATATTTGCTTTTAAATTAAGAAATTGAATATTATATATTACCAAAATATGAATTATAATCTACAGTTTGATACCAAAGTTACTGACATAAATTCATGAAATAGTAGTTCAATAAAATTTTGAATGCGAGTCAACAAATGAGATGACATGGCCTTTCACCCGTGACTCGTCTCGAAAGGTTTAACAGCAATACTAGTATTGTGTAGTTTTCATGATAAGCACCAAGTAATTTCAGATTAGATGTTGACATGAAGATACAAAAACTACACAACCTAATTTGATATTCCTAAAGAATATTAAATTAATGTACAGTTTGTATCTAACCTGTGATGCTATAGCAGGCTGCTCTGCTAAGTATTCTAATGCAATCTTCATCATGTTCACTGATAGATCTATTCCATGAATGGTCACTCCAAAATTCTAAAACAACAAAAAAAAAGCCAATCACATTAAATTTCAAGTAATAATAATAAAGTCAACAGAGACAGTACATTGTAGTATGAACTGGGTAGATGATTACAGTCACATTAAGTATAGAATAAAATTAAGTAAGTAAATAATAATACTTACAATGACTGTGGTTAGTATGAACAAAATAAATAATAACAGCAATATTAATTATGGTGTGGTATGAGTTATGTAAATAATAACAGTGACTGTATGATATGGTATGAGTGAAGCAGGTGATGACAGTGAGTATGGTATAGTATGAACAGGTACATAATAATGGTATGAGCTAGGTAGATGATAAATGTGCCATTAAATATTGTACAGTGTGAACAAAGTATATAATGACAATAACATTAATTATGGTGTGGCATGAACAAAGTACATAATAACAGTGACATTAATTATGGTGTAGTATATGTAAATGATAAATGTGCCAGTAAATATTGCACAATTGAACAAAGTATATAATGACAATAACATTAATTATGGTGTGGCATGAACAAAGTACATAATAACAGTGACATTAATTATGGTGTGGCATGAACAAAGTACATAATAACAGTGACATTAATTATGGTGTAGTATATGTAAATGATAAATGTGCCAGTAAATATTGTACAGTTGAACAAAGTACATAATGACAATGATATTAATTATGGTATGTTATGAGCTAAGTAAATATTAACAATGAAAGTAAGTATGGTATACTATGAACAAGGTATATAATAATGGGAACATTAATTGAACAAAGTACATAATGACAATGATATTAATTATGGTATATTATGAGCTAAGTGAATATTAACATTGAAAGTAAGTATGGTATACTATGAACAAGGTATATAAGAATGGGAACTATAATTATGGTATGGTATGAGCTAAGTAGATAATAACAATGAAGGTAAGTATGGTACAGTATGAAACAAAGTATATAATAACAGTGATATTAATTATGTTGTGGAATAAACTAAGTAAATGATAACAGTGACAGTAAGTATGGTGATATTACTGATAGTATGGTATAAGCTCATTACAGTGCCTTGCTAAAGTATTCACCCCTACCAACAATGACACATTTTAATGACATACGAATAATGGAAACAATTTTTTAGAACAAACTTGTTTTTATTCAAAACTCTAATGATCAAACTTGACACTTTTATGTGTGAAGGAGGTTGAATGTCAGCAAAACCTGCAAATGAAATATATAAATTGAAATTTGCTGATAGCATAAGTATTCAGCTCCCTAAGCCAGTACTTGGTGGAAGCACCTTTGGCAGCAAGTACTGTTGTGTCTTTTTGCATAGGTCTCTACCAGCTTTGCACAATGGGATGGTGTAATTTTTGCCCATTCTTCCAGGCAAAATTGCTCCAATTCTGACAAGTTCGTTGGGGGGATCGTTGATGGACTGCAATCTTCAAGTCTTGCCATAAATTTTCTTTAGATTCAAGTCAGCCTTTTGCTTGGGCCACTCCAGAACATCACTTTCTTCTTTTGAAACCACTCCATTGTGGCTGTGACTTTGTGCTTTGGGTCATTGTCCTGCTGCAACGTAAGTTTTTGATCCAGTTTTAGATATTCTTGGCTGACTCAAGCAGGTGTTTCTCTAGGATTGCCTGTATTTTGTACCATCTATCTTTCTCTCAGTCCTGACAAGCTTCCCAGTCCCTGTTGATGAGAAGCATCCCCATAACAAGATGCTACCACCACCATGCTTGACAGTTGGGATGGTGTTGACTGAGTAATGAGCTGTGTTAGGCTTGCAGCAGATGTAATGCTTTGAATTTAGATCAATTTTTGTCTTGTCTGACCACAAAATCTTCTGCCACATGTCTGCAGTATCATTTACATACTTTGTCGCAAACTCCATACATGATTTATGATGATTCTTTTTCAGTAATGGCTTCTTTCTTGCTACTTGCCCATACAGGCCATCTTTGTGTAGGGACCAGGATATTGTTGATGTATAAACACTGACTACCATCTCAGACATGGAACTTTCCAAATCTTTCAAAATCACTATTGGTTTCACAGTGGCATCCCTAACCAGTTTCCTGCTTGACCAGCTGCTTAGTTTGGAAAGGCAGCCTGATCTGGGCAGTGAATGGATAGTATAAAGCACACTCCACTTCTTAATGATGGACTTCACTGTACTCAAAAAGATAATCAGCAACTTTGAAATTTTCTTGTAATCTTCTCCTGATCTGTGCTTCTCTACCATTTTATCCCTGATTTGTTTGGAAAGCTCCCTGGTCTTCATGGTTGGTTTGTTGTATCACTATGCGAGTTGTGGCTTGACCAGATGCATTTACTCTGAAGTAGAGCCAAACCACTTTGATTACACACAGACAGAGACCATTATACTAATTTTGTGACCTTTCAAATTAATCTTTTGCACCTGAACTGATTTAGGGTTGCCGTAGCAAAGGGGTTTAATACATATGCAAATAAGAATATTATAATTTTCTTTGAAAATCTAACTTAATTACATAATATAAGTGCTTTTTTTTTAGCTTTCTCGGTTTGGAGTAGATTGTGGAGATTCTAAATATAAAGTCCCATATGAAAGTTTCATGAATAAGCTCAGATAACAACAAAATGTGGAAAATTTGCAGGAGGGTGAATCTTTTGTAAGGCACTGTAGATATTAACAATGACAGTAAGTATGGTAAACTATGAAACAAAATATATAATAGCAGTCACATTAATTATGGTGTGGTATGAGCTAAGTAATCAATAAAAGTGACAGTAAGTATGATATATAATAATGGTGACATTCATTACAGTAAGTATAGTATAACATGAACTAAGAATATAGTAATTTTGACATTAATTATGGTATAAGTTGACTACATAATAGCAGTGACATATGTATGGTATAGTATGAGTAAGGTACGTAATAATGGTGAAATTAATTACAGTATGGTATAAGCTAGGAATATAGTAACAGTGGTGGTATGTATGGTCCAGTATGAACTAAGTATATAGTAATGGGTGACAATAATTATAGTTATTTCAAGTTTTGTATAGGGCTGTATTTTTTACAGTACGTGTCTGTGAGTTGTTGGTGATAAATGTCAACAATAAACTGACAGCACACAATCCACTTGTTTTAAAATAATATATTCAAAACAAGTCAAACATAAAAAAATTCCTTACGCTATTGATTATCACGGTTGTATCCAGAGCTTTAAATAATTGTCTCTCTTTTTTTGTCAAAAGTCCACACAGGCTGATTCGGTTACTTTACAACCCAATTGACAAGACAAATTATTTTTTTTCTATCTCTGTTGTTTACAATACAGCTGTGAAACTCACTGTAGAAATTGTCTGTTAAGGCTAATCACTCACACAATCTAGATCTGTAATTATTTCTCTAACTTAACTTGATTTCTTGCACTCTGTATCTGCACATATTCATAACACATGACAAAAAATCTAGATATATCTAGCCTCTAGTGACAACAATATTCACATAACGAGAAAAACTTAGAAGCTTCAAGTAACATAATGTTGACAGTATTACTAAAGCCTAGTACAACAATTAAACTTCATACACAATGTACGACTCGTGAAGAGTTACGTAATGAAATTTGTCATAACTATCACTTTTAAAATAATTAACTTTTAACACTTGTTATGAAAAACTAAATAATAGCTCTTATACTAATCAGTCTTGTATATCCAACAGTATAACTTGACAATTAACAGTGACAGTAAGTATGGTATAGTATTAACAAGGTATATAATAACAGTGATATTAAGTATGGTATAAGTAAATATGAAAGACTGCAAAGTAAAATTTTGATCCAGACTGAAAAAATCATGAGAATGAGAGTAGTGATAGCTCATGATTACTCTTCTAACCACACCCTCGCATAATATAATACAATAACAATGTTTAGGGACAACAAGGTACCTATTGGTCCAACTCAGCTGTCCCCTCCTCTAAACTAAGCGAATATAAGTTAAAAAAAAAATCTTAAAGCCAGCCTTTATCATTCATATAGTTAGCAAGCTTTCTTATAAAACTCACTTAAATTTACTACCTCCACAACATCTGAAGGCAACCCATTCCAAAAGCCAACCCCCCTGTTAGAAAAAATAAAACTCTTAGTTGAAGATGACTTCTTCCTAGCAAAAGTTTATATTTATGTCCCCTAGTACTAGAATTCTCACCATTAAGTATGAAAAAAAATGATGCATCACCACTCTCAATTCCTTTTACGATCTTAAACACCTCAATCAGATCCCATCTAATTCTTCTTTTTTGAAGAGAAAAGAAATTGAAAGATCTTAATCTCTACTCACATGACAAACCCTCCATCCCAGGCACCATTCTAGTAACCCTCCTCTGAACCCTTTCCAACAATTCATTGTCCTTCCTAAGATATGGGGCCCAAGACTGAACACAATATTCCAAATGTGGCCCAACCAGTGACATATACAATGAAATTATAGCCTCTTTAGACTTGTATTCAATACTTCTGTAGATACATCCTAAAATCCTATTTGCCATGCCACTAGCAACAGCACACTGCTTGGATGGTTTAGGAGACTGATCAATCATTACTCCAAAATCCCTTTCTTTTATGACACTGTTAAGGTTAAAATCATAAATAATATTCAACATTAAACATCTTATTTAGGCCTATCTATGGCCTACAAAATGTTGATGAATTTACATGTTTCGACATTACAACGTCATCCTGAGTTATTTATGTATATAAAAAAACAAAACAAAGGTCATAAGACTGAGCCCTGAAGTACCCCACTCATGACATTAATCCAGTTTGACTGAAATCCATTTGTAAAAATCTTCTGCTTTTTCCCATCTAGCCAATTTTATATCAAATGAGTCAACATATCCCCTACAACTTGGAAAAATAACTTTTTAACAAGACTTTTATGTGGCATCTCGTCAAATGCTTTCTGAAAATCCAGGTATACCACATTCACACCTATATCCTCATCTACATAAGCAGTAACCTCTTCAAAAA